AAACAAACCGGGGCAAGCCCGAGTTGCTTAACGAGTCGAACACGAGCTGTTCACGAACAAAGAGCCAAATTGACAGCCCTACATGTCATCTTATAGAAATGTGTTGACCAAAATAACCTTAGTGAGAACATTTTGGTCCCTCGGCCAATAGAGGTATGAAATGAAAGCGCATCACCTTTTTAGATCACTACCAATCCGATCCACAGCATACAAAAATTTGATTTTAATGCGTCAAAAATATTAAAATAACTCCAAATTAAATCAACTTATTTAAATCCAATTCAATTCAATTTTAACTCATAATATATATATATATATATATATATATATATATATATATTAAAAAGATGCTTATTAAGGTTGCATCCATATATTTCGAAATCATAAGCGGAGCTTAAAATCGTCTAAAATTAGAGCCCAAATGAAATTACTAAATTTGAATAATATTAATTTTAAATATTTTTAACAGCCCCGAGAAAAAGAATTGGTCTGAGAAAAACCCTCAGGACCTCAATAAAATCTCATAAAGGTGAAGAAGCAACCAATCTACAAAAGCTAGACGAGTGGCTTCGAACGAAGTGTCCGTTGGATCTCCAGAACTTGCTGCTGCTGCTCTGATGGCAATGAACTAAGCTGTTCAGGCGTCAAGCTCATGAGCTGCTGAAGGAGCACTGATTCCTCTTCTACTGAAAGCTGAATCACATAAATAATGTTCAGGTTATATGGAGTAAGAGATAAATATAATATCAAAGATAAGGTGATTGATTAATAATGGCAATGTGGAAGTCATGATATGCATTTTAAGAGCTAGAATGTTTTCTGCAATATTCAAGGCTGGTCGTTTAGCCATTATTCTAAAATCATCTTTTTTTTTTTTTTTGGAGGGGAGCAGGGCAATTACATACAGACCATCCGAAACATGCAATTTACAAATCAACCCCCCTCTTTCATCTATTTTTTAAGATCCACTCCAATATTAAAATTCATGTTAATATAAATACATCTGTTTGGTACTTCAAAAAGATCAATTTGTAAATATTAATTTGTTTTGGGTCGTCTGTATGTAATTGTCCCTTTTTTTTAGTAAGTTTCTTCAGAATTTCAAGTCACAGACAATAGGCTAAGGTAATAATTTTTATTTTAGCGCTCAGGCATCCTATATAGATTCAAGCGCTAAATCGAAAATCAATCCGGAATGAAATCAGACCGACGTATTCCCCACAACAGGTAATGGACAAGCCTCATTACAGTTGCACAGAAAAAGCTTAATATTATTTTGGAAGGTTTACATGCATACTGCTCAATTCCTATGTATTTACATATCTAACTCCCAAACTTTTAAGTTCTACATGCCACCTTAACTATGCATAAAAATATGTATTTCACTTCTATAAGTTAAAATGGTGTCATTTTTTATGTGATATGAAAGATTTGGGTGGTAAACTTGTAAAAGGTAAAAGCAAAAGGTAAAATTTAGGTGATAGATATGTAAATACAAAGGAATTGGGCGGTATGTATGTAAATGTCCCTATTTTTTTTATCCAAAGTAATTGATTTCAAGTTAGCTTTCAAGCTGATTAAAGCCAAATCTCTTAGTTTAAAAATAATTTTGTAAACTATATACACATATATAACATGGATCTCAGTGAAGACATGTCTCCATTATATTTCATCTCACCCGAAGTACCAAACTACTCTCCCACCAATTAAAAGGAGAAGGCTATGTTGATAAATATCCCTCCTTGCCTTTGAACCCACTTAATGGCACATCCTAAGGAGCTTTCCAACTTTATATCTATTTTGGCAAAGAGTAATAATTAATACCTAAATACATACATGTCCTAAATGACACTACTGAATGGATAACTTCAATCTTCATCAGCTACTTAGGTGGTGGGTGGGGGGTTTTGTGGGGGGGGGGGGGGGTAATACCGCACCGCACTGCAGTTTTGTCTGTTTGGGTAAACTGCATTTTGACAACTTTTTGAAAAAGCTGCCGCTGAAATTTACGTTTTTCTACCACTCCTGACTAGGTGCAATGGCAGCTTTCTAAATGTGACCTAACTTTTTTAAGAAAAAAAAATTTGTACTAGCCCTCGTAGCTTTTTTAGCATCATATTATTATTCAGCAGCTTCACAGTTGCATTTTAATAAGCTGCAGCTGCCCCAAACAGACCCTAAGTGTTGCAAACAATTTTATTGTAGAAAATGTAATTGCACAGAATAATATATAAAGGCTAATGAATGGGGTTGTCAAAAAAACTCGTTGTTTGCAAACAGCTTGTGCTCGACTCATTATATAGCTCGTGTTTGACTTGTTCGTTAAGCAAGTGAGCGAAACACGAACAATTCTGTTAGCTTGATTTATAAATAAGCCGAACATGAATAAATATTTATTTGTTCATGTTCAGCTCACTTTTTGGCTCTAAATAAATAATTAATTAAATATTAATATTTATTTACATCATTTTTATATTAACTTTTTATATGTATTAAGTAAATGCAAAATCTTATTATTTTTAAAAATTATTTGGGTAATATGTTTATAAAAAAAATATAAGTTTAGGAGTTATATATGTAAATACATAAAATTTGGATGGTATGTGTTCGTGTTCCTAAAATAAAGCTTAGAGGTGCAACCAAGTTAGCCGAGGGAAGGGGATTGTGCATAGGCCTCACCATAGCGGCAGATTGCGGGGGAGAAAACCTCCTCTCCTTTCGATTTTGGGTCCCACCGCACCCATCCATCAACTCTCAATGGTCTCACTGGATGTGTTAGCCTCACATGGCAATTACGAAAGTGGGAAGAAGGGATGTAGGAACCACAGGGACACACCAATCTCAAGCACTTTAGTTCCACATCACAAATGATGAAAAATTGGTGTGAGCAAAGCTTTTTAAAAGCCAAAATTAAGGCTTTACAAAACAAAAAAATTGTATGGTTTGCGTGCAAAACATCACGTGCAGATTTACTAAAAATAAATATATTTTTTTAATTTAATTATTTATATTATTTAGTCCATGCGGTGCTTGAGTTAAATTCAAGTCAAACACGAGCTTAATTCGAAGAAATAAATTTGAATTGAGTCGAATACAAACAAGCTAATAATAAACTATTTCAAACACGAGTTGAACAGGAACAAAACATATTTAACTAACCAAACACGAACAAGGCTTGGGCTCGCTCAATTTCGACATGTTTACACTCCTACTAATGAATAAACTTGAAAATGGTTATAGAGTAAGAAAAAAATTTCCACTTATTATAACATAATTACAAAATAAATACCGAATGTCAATTTTATTTTGATCATGCTATGTGCTGATGATGATCATGTGATTGCGATAAATTCATTATCACATCATTACATTGTTAGTTTATGCCAACAATTTGTCGTTGGCATTATGAATACTTCATTCACTCTAATAGAGAGCAACATGAGATGTTATTTTTAATTTATGCAATTCTTCTTGCACAAATTACTTCTTGCACAAATTAGAGGCAAGTTACTTTTAACCATGTACCTCTAATTACCCTCATTTTAAATCTAGGAAGATCTAAATACATACCACTCAATTTTGATGTATTTACATATCTAACAATAAAACTTTAATATTCATATACATGCCACCATACCTATGCAAGAAAAGGTGTGTTTCACTTTTTAAAAGTTAAAACGGTGGTATTTTTTATGTAATATAAAAAATTTGGATGGGTATAAATGTAAAAAGTGAAGTTTAGATGTTAGAATTGTAAATATATAGGAATTGGATAATATGCATGTAAATGCCCCTTAAATCTATCTACCTTGTCGATACATCTTTTGGCCTTCATCTTCACAATAAGAAAAAAAATAACTCTCCAAGTTTCACCAGCTAATATCAGAACCAGAGTTATCAGTGCAGATTATTTGTAGATGATAGTGTGTTAAATAAGAGAACAGATTTAAATTCCAAACATAGATAAATTAAAGAAACTAGATTGAAGATAGTGAACTCAAAGAGTGGCTAGATACTATGCAAGTTTAGCGGAGAAAAACAGCAATGATTAACCAATGATAAAAATTATTGGAATATCATCAAACACACTTAATCAAATTCTCAATGAATTTGACCAAATTTGCATTGTGTTTGCTCGAGCATCAATAGGCTATAGTCGAAGTCAGCTAATTCCACCTAGAACCAGGATTTGAATTAGCTCAAGCCCATTTGTATTCAACTTGACTTATATCAGCTAGCTTCAATTTACTTAGAATCAGTTGAATCCATGGGAAAAACAATCAACTTTATTTAGATTTGATTTCGTTAATTTAAGCTAATTTGTCTGAAGTTTCACTTGTAAGCAATTTGGTTTAAATTAAATTAATTCAAGATCTGACCAAGCTTGACGAGAGTATTAGTTTATTCCACTAAGCCAACCGATAAAATGACAGCACATCATTATGGGTCAACAAAACTGATTAGGTAATGCCTGATCCAACCTAAACTCCTAAAACATTTAAGGCCAGATCTAATCTAACCAAATTTGGTGCATGTGCAGCTCCACTGCATTGTCTCGCATGCACCCAAATTACCTTCGGCTAACCCTCCACATGCAGTGCAGAATTGGCTTGGTTGGTATTATATTAAAGGTTATAAAATATAGCATAATATTAATTGTGATATAATATAAAGAATGTGATAATCATTATGAAAAATGACCCAATTTAACCACATGCCATGTAGCTACGACAGCCGGCCTCCGTACAAGTGTGCTCTAGGAATTCGATGGTGTGGAATTCACAAAGAATTTTAGTTTTTATATTTTCATAATCTGCTTGCTGGTAGGGAAGTTCGTAACTGCCATCAGGCTCACCTCAGTGCGAAGTCAAAAATTTAACATGTAGGTTTCTCTAATATCAGAGTAGCAAAGACCTATATTATGAGCCTCCCTACATTCATAATGCCATTGGGCATACCCTTTAGTAAAATAATATTCCTTACGGTTTAATCACCATTCATACATCAGTGATTCTAATGCATGCACTAATGGGTCACCTTGCCAAAAGGATGAGGTTGTAATACCCCTCCATAGTGTTCCCATCTAATTGAAAGGTTATGAGTCCCACCCTTAGGCCTCTCCATTAACAGATTCAAAAGCATTTGCCTAATCAAACTCTTGTAATATAATTCTATTCGATACAAACAAACCATAGTTGTTCCGCCAATAAGGGAAGATCATAAGAACTACCAATAGGCCTGCCTCTAGTTTACAGAATACAAGTTTTGCTTGTAGGTCCTTAAAATATTATAATATAATCAGCCCTATCTGGGCTTCACTAGTAACAAAGAAAACCAAACTCTCAATCTTTGGAAAGCAATAACATGACATTACAACATATATTTGACATCATATCTGCATAACATCTTAAAGCAATTTAAAATGAATTATTGAATTAGGTCCTTCAAGGTGAGATCATAAAAGCCACCATTGGCCCTTCAAGGCGAGGTGGTAGGACCCATCATTAAGCCCTCTTATAAACTAGAGGTTAATTAGTCTTACTCATCCATGGAATCAATTTGAAACATCATAGATTCACCAAGCTACCTTCGTAATTGCTTTCTGTTAAAAAAGAAAATATTTTGTATTCCTCAAGCTGGGTCATAATCTCGTAAGTCTCATCTATCTTTCGGGCTAGGCTATAACCCTATATAAGTCTTAATCAAAATTCTGCAGCCACGACATATCCTCTTAAGTCTTGCATACATGTTAGGGCTAAATCAAAACCTCGCAAGTCTCACACGCACTTCTTTGGATTGGCCAGGTAAGTCTCATTTAAATTCTCAGGTTGAGCTATAACCCTAAGAGTCTCACGTACATCACATGATACCCCTATTATCTTTACACATAATGGAATGCCAAAAAGTAAATACAACTAATTTAATATAGCAAAATTGAGAATGTAAAGATAACGTGGATAAAACTTGTAAAACTCTAATTGTCAAAACTGAATTAAAAAAAATCAAGTACCTGGGGCGTTTGCTTTTGTGTGTTCTGCATCCCATCTGCACTGGATACTTTTTCTCCGGCTGAAAGGGAAGGATCAGACGACTGAGCTTGACATAGGCCACCTACAGAAGAGTTTCTACTAATCAAATTATGAGCAATACCTCCCTCTTCCAATCTTGGTCGTTTTGAAGGATGAGTTGATAGTCCTATTGTCGCACTTGACATTTCATTTTGCTTTACCAAACCTCGTAGAGAACTAGGTTTTTCTGTGCTAATTCTTGATGCAGAAGTTAAATCTAGGTTAGAAGAAGATGGCCGAGCTTCCCTCAAAAGCATCTCCAGCCCAGTTGATTGCAGTGGGTTATTCAACGAGGGAATCTGCAATATAATAGTAATTAGCGAAGGGCAACACATTCAATAAATTACATAAATTTAAACAAGTTCAGCAAAATAAAATTTTTCTAGTTAAATTTAACATATATTTGATATTTATTAATAAACAAGGACATGGGCATCAAATGAAGTGGAAAAGGAAGGCTTAGTCAACAAACATAACAAACATTTATTATAGTGAAAGGAAATTAATGATCATTAGCTTCAAGCATCCAAAACAACTAAAATTGAACAGACTAATAGAGTAACCAATTAGTTCAACGCATTTACTGATGTAATAGAAGGCTTATATGTTGAGAATGATAATTTGTGTCGTTATAGAAGAAGATCTAATGTGTTACAGATATTTGGACAAAGTAGAGATGATTGTTCGATCATAGTACACAAAAACCTATCTTTGCCATAGAACTACCATTGGCCTGTATTGTAGACCATTATTCATCTTCTAGACATATAGTCAGTGTAAGGGAGGGAGTTGCAACTGGCAAGCAATAAACTATAGGCATGGAAGTTTTCTTTCAATTGTAGTGGTTTTAACGTATATAGCATCTGAAAGTTGGCATTTACGCATTTACTGATGTAGCAGGTAGGCTATATGAATCTTTTTTCCTCCATTTGTCCTATTTAGTGCCATATTTTCATTTCATTCTAAAAAATTGAGATCATTTCTTATACAACATGCCCAAGACTTTTTAGGTCTACCTTTGTCTTTCTATCATCAGATAGTTGACATTTGATGTGACCAAACCATCTAAGACAACTCTGTCTAATCTTGTTTACCACTGGAGCTATACCAACTCTTTCACGGATACATTCGTTTTGCATTTTGTCTTTAAGTGCCAAGCCACTCATCCATCTAAGCATCCTCATCTCAACAACACTTAACGTAGTTTTATGCTTCTTCTTTAGAGGCCAACATTCTTTGTAGATCTCCCCACCATCTTATAATATTTCTCTTTAAATCTAAGTGGCAATTTTCTATCACACAATAGGCCATTGCATTCCTCCGCTTCAACCACCCAACTTGAATACTACTAATAACATCTCCATCTATATCACTATCATTTTGAACAATAAACCCGAGATATCTAAAATATTCACACATTTTAATAATTTGATCACCCATTGTTACAACTCTGCCACTATATCTACTACTACTAAAATTAAATTAAATGTATTCAGTTTTAGATTTACTCAAACGAAGCCCTTAGACACTAGGGCTGTCAAAAAAGTTCGTTGTTCGCTAACAACTCGTGTTTGGCCCTTTAAGAAACTCGTGTTCGGCTCGTTCGTTAAGTAAATGAGTCGAACACGAACAAGTTTTTAAAGATCGAATTATAAATGAGCCGAACACGAGCAGCTCTTGTTTCGTTCTTGTTCTGCTCGTTTTAGCTTGAAATAAAAAATTATATAATTATTTATAAAATAATATAGTACATATATTATTTATATAATAATATATTATATATATTTATATCTAATTTTAAATCGTAACACCTCGTGTGGTACTATAGTTAGTGTCTTCTTTTGCATACATTTGGTCCAGGTTCGAATCTAATATTTTACATCTATTTTTTTCAATTTAATTTTAACAAGCCAATTTTGAGTCGTGCACGAGCCGAACACGAACACAAATATTTAAATCGATTCGAAAACGAATACATTGTTCACGAGCTGATTTCAAACACGAGCAGTTTCGAACGAGCCGAACACGAGTCAAGCCTTAGCTTGCTCAAGCTCGGCTTGTTTACAGCCCTATTAGACACTAATGTAGACCTCTATAATTTATGTTTTTCCTGAACTCCTTATTTAGGCCCCGTTTGACGCAGCTTATTACCTGCGTCCAGCGTTTTCAAAACGCCGCGTCTGAGTTTGTTTCGGCGTTCGCTCCTGCGATCGCTAAACGCTGCGTTAAAATGGCGCTATTCGATTCGGTCCCGAAGAAGCTCCCGACATCCTGCGTTCGGCGTTCGGCGGGGGCTTATTACGGCGCAGCCCTCGTCCTCCCCGAAAATCTCCCTCACGCTGCGCCCTCGTCCTCCCCGAAAATCTCCCTCACGCCCGTTCCCGTCGCAAATCAACCTCCGCAGGCCGCATATCTCCGTCGCAGATCTCCGCAAGCCCTCGATCTACCGCACCTCGGCCCGCAGATCGCAGATCGCTCGTTGTCGCCCTCCCGCAGGCCGCATATCTCCGCTCGCCCCGGTCCGCAGCCCTCGATCTACCGCACCTCGGCCCGCAGAGCGCTCGTTGTCGCCCGCAGAACCGCAGAAAGGGTTTCTGCTCTGGAGATTGAGGTGAGTGATCAAATTTGTTGTTTTGTTGCTACTGTAAAGTTGGGATTTTTGATTTGCTGTTGTTATGTAGTTAGAATGTAGGATTGTAAAACCCTTTGGTGAATATATCAACTAGTTGATTATCTAATAGAATATGAGGAGTACTGATCAAATCAATCAATATATATTTTTTTTTTCTTATGAAGTGTTTATTTACCCTCATGTTTTTGGTTTGATCATGTTATAATAATTGTTTTTGCCATTATATATCCTCATAGATCATTTATATTCAATCATTAGTTCTTTTTAGCAGCAAAAGTTTACTAATTTCTTTGATTGTTGCTCTAAATTTAGATTCCACACTTTTTGTCTACACCACTTCTTCTTAGTTCACGTAATACATTTTCATAAGAGCAATTGCAATAACTTGAAGTTGATTATTATGGCCTTGTGGTTTCAGAGTTCTATGTTTTTTTTTTAATAGAGAATCCCCTTCTCCGTGTTTGATTTGAAATACCCGAGAACACGATAAGTAGCTTGAAGGTTCATATATTTGGCAAAACTTTAGAATGAAAGCAAGAAAAGGAGAAATGCTATTGCTGAATGAAAGCAAGAAAATATCTAATTACAGAATTAACTATTGCTGAATTTGGCAAAAGCTATTGCCAATAATGTAATAAGCTATTGCTGAATGAAAGCAAGAAAAGGATAATTAACGGCATGCTTCGTTTGCTGCCATCACCATGTAATATCCTTGATGCATTTATTTTCCTTTTGGGTATGAAGTTGTTAACTATACCTAAGTTTGTTTTAATCCCTGCTTTGGGTATGAAGTTGTTAACTTTAGTGGTAGTGTTGAATTAAATAGTTCTAGTGGCAGCATTAATTTCAGCAGCATTAAATTAGTATTGGAGCTACCAATGGCAGATGTCACAAATTGAAGTTTAGGTGCTGATATGTAAATGTATAAGAATTGAGTGGTTTGTACGTATATATTTCTTCTAAATTTGACCACACCAGAGCTAGCTAGTAGGGAGAAAACATTCTTTTTCTATCTACACTTTCTTTGATAAAATCAGTGTGAAATTCCTTTCATCTTTTTTGAAATAAATTTATGTAAATCAATTTTTTGGTCATAACAATTACATGTTTTTCTCTTACCAGAGAATTCAAGGCCGCCGACTGAAACCTTTCAACTGATAGAGGTATGAGGAACTCCATTAATGACCTTAAGATAGAGATTTCTGTGATTTTTACATTGTTTGCTGTAATTATGATGCCTTATTGGTACTTTAACTCATTCAATTTGTTCATGTTTAATTGGTAGAAAATTAGATAATATGTTATATGACAGGTCATACTCACTGCTGTTTATTCCCTGCTGTTGAATCATGTCTAAAGTGGTTGAGGGGGGCCAGTCCGCAATGTGGGACAAAGAGGTTACAAATATTTTCTGTGATTTGTGTATTAAAGAAATAGAGCTGGGTAACAGACCAACAACGTATTTTAATAAGGAAGGGTGGAATAGCATTGGCAAGAGATTTAAAGAACTGACTGGTAGGGATTACGACCGCCTTAAATTTAAAAACAAATGGGACCAGCTGAAGAAGGAATGGAAAATATGGAAGGAGTTGAAGCGTGGATCTACCGGTCTGGGTTGGGATCCGATTAAAAGGACAATTGATGCTCCAGCTGAATGGTGGGCTGAAAAACTAGAGGTAATTTATATATAATTCATGAATTGTTAGCTTCGCAAATTATTTTCTAACAATCCCCTCTAAATGCTGTTCCACAGGCAGTACCGGCAGCGAAGAAGTACAAACAGTGTGGAATAGAGCCGGAATTTGAAGCGAAATTGGACATAATGTTTAGATGGGTTGTCGCAACAGGAAAGTTTTCATACAACCCAATTGAAAGCGGTTTTACAGGGATACCAGATGAGATCACACCTGATCCAGTGACACCCGATGAAGAAGTTCAAAGCATTAACCAGAGGGATATGGGGGAGTCCAGTACAATTTTAAAGAGGCCAAGGATTGCTAAGAAAAATAAAGAGAAAGAACATGCTGTGAACACCGCCTTCGACCGTTTAATTGAAGCTTTTGCAGCTCCACCAATATCTGAAGATAGCATATTAGACTGTCTGAGGCTTTTGGGCACTATTCCTGAAGTTGTGGCCAACAAACGATTTCATGCACAGTGTGTGAAAAAACTGGAGGATTCAACGCGAATGAAAATTTTCTTGGCACTTGCGCCTGAATTGCGACTGGAATACTTGCGGGTTTTGGTAGAGGAGTGATTATTTTTATTGGTATATGTATTTGGTGGACAAATATGATCTTTCTAGTTCAGAGACTTCTACTTATGTAGTTTTTTATTTTTATGTTTAGAACTTCTAATCATGTTGTTTTTTCATGTAGTTGTATCGTCTACATATGTACCTGCCAGTAGTTAATGTTTTATTTTTAAGTTGCGTATTATATGTTTTGAATTTGTACAATAAATATTTGGTAGTGCTGCAGAACTATATTATCATGCACTAATTCTATTTACATCTTATATTATTTAGGATGGACCCACAACGTGCGCGTCGTAGGAGAATGGCATTTGCTACAGCCGTTGCAATATTGTTGTTGGATTATTACCGGAGTAGAACTCCTCGCATTCCCCGCATGACATCCAGCTTTGTTGGAGATAGATGGGTTGGTGAAATGCTTTCTGGCCATCCAATAAGGTTTACAAATATTTTCAGAATGACAGCACCAATTTTTATGGATCTTTTGCACGAGTTATGCCTAAATCACGGCCTCCAGGGTTCTTCCAGAACGACGTGATTTGTAATTTGTAATTTCAGAATTTAATCTTTTTACTTAACATTGTTTTTTCTTATTAGGAAAATACTATTTGGTTGATGCCGGGTATCCTATGCAAAGGGGATACCTGAAGCCTTATCCTGACACAAGATATCATCTTCCTGATTTTGCGAGAGCGAGTGGCACCATCCGTGGTAGAAAGGAAATGTTTAATAAACGTCACTCATCTTTACGCGGGGTAATTGAAAGAACATTTGGGGTTTGGAAGAAGAAATGGGTCATCCTACGCGATATGCCGTCGTATCCTTTCCAAAAGCAGGTGCATATTGTGGTTGCAACAATGGCACTACATAACTTCATCCGAAGACATGCCTCACGATTAGATACAGATTTTAGTATGGCTGACAACGACGAACTGAATGTCTTCGATCAAACTCCTGAAATTGTGGCTGGTAGTTCATTACCTGAGGATGATGTAGACTCTAATGATTTTGGAGATCAGGAGGGTGAAGGTTTGGCTGATATGATTGCTTTAAGGGAGTCTATCACAGATGCTATTTGTGGTTGTTGATCTACCAAGTTT